GGACTGGGGCAAGAAGGGAAAAGGAAGGCATCTCCGGTCGTGATTTGGTCCTGCCCATTTTGCCATGTGAGACATCAGCTGCACAAGGCCAGCCCTGTAAATACTAGTCCGCAGTTTAGTATCAGGACACTCCTGATTTTACCCCCCATCCTCCAAAGAGCCCACCCTATCGCTTGGCCCGAATAACTTACGAAATCCTGTAGTGGGCCAGGCCAAGAGAAGCCAAGGAAACCGGGCCAGGATGCGACCGACTTTGTTGGCGATACGCTTATCCTGAGTACGACCGTACTAACTTAGACTGTGCTCCGGTTCGGCTGCACTACTCCAAGTAGTCTAAGTGAGTGAGGCATACTTGGCTTTCTCAGTATAGTACCCTAAAGGATGGGGCTGTGTGAAGGTTGTACATCCGAGGGGTGTTTTCCCCCCCTTGTTGCGAACAAGAATTGAAGGACTGACTCCAAGAAAAAAAAATCTCTCCCAGATATATGATCGTAACTAAAACTGTCATTTGGAAATGTTCAGGCTCAATATATTCCCGGTTAATGAGATACACGATGAATTTGGCAGCCTAGGGGTTAAGAAGAACGGGGAGGGAAGTGTTGATTGTCGATGCGTTCGGCGCGCACTGACAACGTCAGAATGGGCCTATTCATTCTTGTAACTGTACTATTGGTTCCCAATAGATTTTTGTCTCATCACCTGCGACATGACTGATTTCCCTTTTCTGATAGGCCGAGACAACCCATTGAACAAACCACCTTTTCCTCCCCGAAAACGAAGCTTAGTAGACCTGACCGAGATGGCTGTGCAAGTTCCTTAAAGAGCACGGTGAACACTAATCATGTACTGTACCAGGCAAGCCTGTTTTGACCCAGTCGGGAAATTGGTGGGGAAGAAAAGGATAAAGGAAAATTAAAATTAAAATTGTAAGCAAAAAGAAAAAAGAAAGTTGGATTGTCATGTGTAAGCGAATCAATCCTTTTTGAAACTAAAACTAAAGAAAAAGAGTAAGCCCAAGCGACTGCGGACGGCCAAAGCTCGACCTTGCGCCCGCAACTTTATCACCGAAGTGGCCATGTCTACTGGACAATAAGTTCCGGGGGAGGGTTCCAAAAGGCAAAAAGAGCCTAAACTGGCGCGTCTGGTGAAATTTCCCAAGGCCAAAAATTACATAGTAGGAAAAGAAGAAGGAAAAAGAGGTACGGAGACTGTACGGAGTACTCATGTCGGGGAGTAAAAGTCGCGCCCGCAAAGCAAAAGTTACTTACTCCTCCCCACTGATAGGACAGCGGAAGAGGTCGTCTACAGTTTGATAAGTCGCCCAGCAAAGAGTAGGTAGATCAGGTATTACGTGGCCGATCGCTGTGCATATGACTGATCCTAGAGTAGTTTAAACTGTCGTTTACGTGAGAGTTAAACTTTGCCATCCGAAGTCTAATAGTACCTGCTTGCTATCTGACCATGGTCAGCTATCATTGGGATCCACCATCTTACTGATCAGACAGTTGTGTCAGGCGAACCACCGTTCTGGATAAGATTTGTCAAGCTTTTCATGGGTTTGGGGTTTTCTGCTCATGCCTGGTAAATTCTGGTTGCCAACCGGCGGATAAATCTGCAGCAGAGGGAGAGAACTGTACAGTAACCTGGCACTGAGTTGGGTAGAGTGTGAGTACCAGACCTGTCAGTCTAGCCGAACCACCGACCCCTGCTTGCTACGGAGACTAGGATGAGGATGGTTTCAGGGAGTGCCTCGAACAAGTTGGGGGCAAAAATTGGCGACACGATGGAGCTTGGAGTCAGTCCGGGAGCTCCGTGATGGCGGGTTTGCTAAATCGGATCATCGCAAATCGCTTAGTTGTCAGGGACTTCACGCTGTTGTCGTGCGCAAAACCCCCGCTCAGTCTATCTGATCACTCCGATGCGGAAATCCTCTGCTCCCCTGCTATTGAAGGGCTCGTTTAATCGAGGCAGGCTGTGAATAATGATTGATTCAGATCTGGAGATCAGATGGCCAGCAATACGAGTACAAACCGCCACAGTGGCTGTCGCTTGGGTTGCCGATAGCCGGTAATCCGAGGGAAATGAACGACCATTTTCTCTGCTCTGAGTCAAGACGGTCAGACATGGATCATATACACCGGCTAGCCCGGCGGGCTAACCCCAAGGGAAAAATGTCGTCAGCTTTGACCAGAAATGGTCACTTTTCTTTCGGGCGGAACCGCTGCGTAACCCGGGGATGAACTAACCCTAAATCATTGGGAATGCACTCTATGTACTCCGTAAGCCCTGAGGATTGAAGGAATGAGCTAGTTCTTAATAATATTATTCTCTTTTCCCTTCGTTAGAGGAGCATGAGTAGGATGAATATTGATCCGTCACAAATCACAATACCGATGATCCATGCCGGCCTTCCTTCTAGACCACGGGTAAAAGATTCGATGAGCAGTGGAGAGCTGAAGCCAGCACCTATTCAGCTATATCACAATGCATGCAATGAAAACCCGAACCAGGAAAAGTAAGATCCGGATGACACGGATACATAACCCAGAGTTGTACGGAGGTACATAAGTTCATAGCACGACTCAAGACTTCGACAGGAACTGAAAAGTCGGCTATGGAACAAAGTGGATTTCCAGCCACAGTGGAGGCCCTGAAGGGGGGACGGAGGGGGGGGAGGGGGAAGGAAAAGGGAAAGGGAAAGTGGGAACCTGGTAGGCAAGACCTTGTCCGTCCCGAGGTCTGCTTTTGATTTTTCTCTAAGCGAGCTTAAGGTTCCTCGTGTTGGATTAAGCTTAAGCTTCAGAAAGTCGCGCACTAATCAATTTCCGGTTGGTTTCAAGCGATCAGAGCGCCACTGGTATCTTACTAGTGTATTACCATATTCTGCTCATGTTTTCTGGTTTTTTTGTTCGGATTACTTTGAATATTCTCAATTTCTCTGAATCATGAGTTCTGACGGCCAAGACAACTCTTGTCTCCCCCCCGAGGGGCTAGCCGAGATTTGGTTCCGTTGTCTCTCATCTAGGTAACATATTATTATTATGTAGCTGCCATAGCATTAAGGATGATAGGGCAGCAGACCCATGAGCAAGGAGAATAGTTCCAGGTGCTATGGAATCACTGTCCTTGGACGCTATCCGATATCAACCTGCTAAGGAATGGACATCCGGTATGTGGGAATCCTACAGCCCTGTAGGCAGGAGTTTGTACTACTCATCACATATGCAACCGGTTACTCCGGGTGTCGGTCGTGGTATACATTACATGCAGTCCAAATGCTGACGACGACGATGATGATGATGTTAAAACCACCTTGTATGAGTAACGTACCTCTTGCAAGTAGATTGCCTGTCTGGGTTTAGACTCCACCCGTGAGTGAGCCCCCTCTTCTTAGGTTCACTGCTTGACTGCTGGTTATAGGATTACCTGTAGTGTGTGAAAGTATAACTATACGCACTTATACTTATATCCCCGAGAGGGTCTTGGTGCGACTCAGGAGGTAAAATTACCTGGAGCTTAGCTGACCCGACAGTCATGCTCCTAGGCATAGCGCAATGATAAATTGAAGCGAACGAACTCATCCACCAGCCTCGCTCTCCAGTACCGTGGATGAACATTAGGCGAAAAAGAAAAGGTTAAAAACAAGGTTCGCTTTGTTTGTGATAAATCCAGCAACTAGGTAATATCAGATGAAATCATTTGCTGCGGCCTCCTCTTAACCTGTACCCACTTTTCTTGGTCGTTGAATCTGGCTGGCTGATCTTTCGCATGGCGCCTAGAAAGAAGAGGTCCAAGCCATCATCCTCTGACCCTGGCTGGGGCTGAAATCACAAATGGATAAGGATTACACTAGTCCATAATTCCGAGAGACCATGAGGCAAAAATAGAGAGGCGGATGCAGTCAAGCAAGCAGCGAGGAAGATACTCATAAATCACAAGAGGGCTGCTGCTGCTAACCATCCAAAACGATAACTATTTATGCAACACCGGTTGAACTTCACTTATACATAGTCCAGTCCATATACTAGATTACTAATGTGTATCCAGCTGTAGCCGATGCTCATGCGAACACGCAATTAAATCCGACCCAGATTTTCGAGTAATATTATTTCCATCTCATTCAATAAACCAAAACACAACTGCTTAACCCTGTGGGGTTCAAAGTTAGGTTGGTTCCCCACCCTATCTTTGATGCTAATTCTTCACTTGAATATTTTTATTTTATTTTCCATTTCTTTTTCCCCCCTCGGATTTTGTTTTATTTTATTTTAGTTCTTGATTACCATTCGGATTATAATAATCATTTTTCCAGTATTTCTCTGCCTATTCTTTTCTTCTCTCCTACCACCATCTACACTCCCTACAACCCACCATCTCTCTCATCATCTCCGATTCTACCTGTGACTGCAGCAGCAACGCTCAAACCCGCAATTATTCCCACTGTAAGTAATTGAACTGGTGAACCTGTTCGTTGCATTATGTAGCCTCCTTGTCTCAGCATCCTTTGTATAACTTTACGCTTGATTTGGTCCGCTTGACTGCATTCCTTCTTTATTCTCCTATCAGTTGTGCCCATCCCCACTCCCTACTTTCTCTCCCCTTCCTTGCTGCCTTGGTTCCACCATCTACATTCCATCCCCCTCTACCTTATCCCCTCCACCCCCTCATTCCCATTCTAATATACATAGATAGCAAATTAACCTCGCATCTTCTTACTATTAGATCCTCGTTTACTCTCTGTGGATGCTGTGGCAAGATCAAAGTTGATACCGCCCGGCCTGCATCAACTTCCTAATCGGGAAATATCCACTACCGTGATTGATTCTGCAACACACAAGAAAGCACTGCGCAGAAACCAACTCCCTCCTGTCGTCAGAGGGACCAGCATTGTTTAGCCCGGCTTCTGCTCAACTTTCAATATTCTGTACCCTACGAATCACACAGCCCTGGCGCTCAAACCAACCGTCATCACGGGGACCTACACAGATCACCGAAGGTGGATGGAGACGTATCACGGCCACGTCCGCACCCCAGCGGACGCCATCATCCTCTTCGAAGCTTGTCGCATTGGCCTTCTCCCCCGAGTACAACGACGACTGTCGGAAAAAGAACGTCAGTTAATCCGCTCAGGGTCAGTTTTTGTCTGGGATGAAAGGGAGGCGGGTATGCGAAGATGGACCGATGGCAAATCTTGGAGTGCGAGCCGGGTCTCTGGCAGTTTTCTAACTTATCGCGAAATGGAGGGTAAGCGAGGAGGAACAGGTGTGGCACAAACGACAATGTCAAGAGGGGGCAAGACCCCAGATAGTGCGCGAGGCAGCGACGACGATCGGGGGGACGGCGTGGACGAAGGACCTGATGGCTATCGATACAAACCCGACGGATTGATGAAACAGTCGTTCAGCATTACCACCTCGACCGGACAGCATCTCCATCTCATCAGCTATTACTCAAGATCGCACCCGTCTGCTGCCAATCTCCAGCAACCTTCAACAGATCCGGCCTTACGACATGTTCGACCCCAGAAGGGTCTCTACCCAGAATCTACGGTCAACGATCAGCAGAATCTTCCTGTCGTGACTCGTGGCCCCATGGCCGGTGCAGCCTACGTACCTCCGCATCCGATGGGGCCGTATGCTCGCGCCGCTGCTACGCATGCTCCCCCATACACGACGTCGTACACGTGGCCACCAACTCCCCTGGCCACCCCGCCTGTTCCGGTTCATCACTATCCCTCATATCTACCTCCAGTTCCGGCCGGTAGTCATGTCGCATATTCTCATCATCATCATCCTGCGTCCTTACCTCCTGGTACTCCTCTACCGCCACCTCCGCAGCCCCCCGGTTTGCAAACGCCCCACGAGCGACCAATTCATGCGGTTGAGGTTGCGATGCCTCCGGCCTTGCCCCCATCGTCTGTACAGATGCTTGCAAGTCGGTCGCCACGCACACCAGTCGAAGCGCACGAGATGCTGCATCGAAGCCCGTCAGAGCTCGCACACCACGCGGATATTCGACGTGCATCTCCGCGCACGCAACCACATCCTCTGTCACACAGCAACGGCCTTGGCCCGGCTGTGCGGAGCCCCCGGCTTTTGAACCAGCCTCCATCCAACGCTATTCATATCCCTCCCCCGAGTGCAGTGGTCTCTAAGCCTCTCGAGCCCAATAGCTCCGGCATTGCTGTACCCAGCATTGGTTCTCTAATGAACGGCGCACCGTCTGGCGGATTACCCTCAATCACCGCTCCTCCAGTTCCGGCAACAGGGCGAGCGGAGGGGCCCAAGGACATCCCTAGCGAGAAGATCGGATTCGGTGGGGAAGACATGCGGGCTCTCAGACAACTTGATCGAGTTTTCACAGCTTAAGCAGCCAATGGTTGAGATATATTTCTCACGATCACTCATCATTTTCTCAAGCTGTCGTCACCTCGTTGTGTTGTCGCTAGCATCAATCTTCTCACGTCTGCCTTATATCCCTTGTTTCTTGTACATGATTTAGCATTTTGCACCCGGTGAGCTGTTCAGATTGAAATGGTCATGTCCCCCAGCCCCACGACATTATTTCTATTCTCCATTCGGTCTGGTTTATGGTGTTGTTTTCGGTCTCATTTGCACGGAATTGGCGTTGTATAAAGAGGTGCATTACTATACAGCATGGGCGGGATTTTTTATATGTCACGGGTGACTTCTTTTCAATCCTGCGTTGAGGTCGAGAATTGCAATGGGATCGGTCAGTCCGGTGACTAGTCATGATGATAACGTCGAATTCAAGAATCATTTCAAATTCACCTTGCAAACTCCTGCACCTGACACCCACGGTTCCTGTAGTCCTTGTAGTCATTGTAGCATTGCCGTCATTATTGTCTATGAGGTCAACTCCACTTGCTATCAATTAGCACAAACCTGCTGTCTCGGCAGACAACTATAGTATAGCGCAGGCTCATCTGCACGCCGACTGGGTCCATGCACAACCAGCTTCCAGGTTTGCGCCTGGCCTCATTCGAAACCATAAGCTAATCAAAAGATATATTGCAATATCGAGTGGCCTCATTCTTTTCGGCGATAACTCCGGGCCTTTTCATTCGCGTTGAAACAAGTGCCAACTTACGCCCACTTTCGCCCGATTTCTACTTTTCAGAATGTATGTCTCAGAATTGAGAATATATGTTTGGAAATAACCCTGATCAATTTGCCCCGGTGGAGCCAGACCAGATAGGAAGGATACTTGGCTGAGGATGTACATAGCTAGTAGTCCCTGAGTGGATGGCGGGCACATGACTGGATCGCTAATCCAGTCCTCCTCATTTTACAAGCGGTGAAACAAATCTGCCTAGTCTAGTCCTTCACTTCTTTTAATCATTCCACCACAATTCGTCGACTACCCAGCTGAAATCTGCAACACCACGTCCCCCGCTTGCTTGCTTTTCAGGCTAGTCGTCCCTGAAGATCGCTGTAACGTCCGCCCAGCGCCGACCCACTCGGACCAATGGCCGCGGAAGGGTTTATTAACAGAGGAGGGAGAGACCCGCAATCGAATTGCTACCAGCTGGGAATATGTTGGTGTGCTGTATGTGGCTGAGCCGCAGAGCCACAGGCATTGTTTGCCGCAGTCACTCTACTCTATCAATCAACATTCCCTGAAAAAGATAGGTGGTCGTCCACAGGCAACGCTAGGTTGACTGCGACGCTGTTGACGAGGCGACTTGGTCGAGGCGCAGCTGGAGCAGAACTGCGGGTCGTGGACTGTGAGCTTTCTCCCCGCGTTCACTGGTTACATGCGTTGAATGTCCAAGCCATGGTGCACGGTCTGGAGAAGGGGTCGGGGGCTGAGATGGTCATGCTCTTTAGTTTGGTGCAGTTACACTTGGGCGGGGAGGACAGTCGCAGAGGATTCATGTTGTCTCTGCCCGCTATCCGCACCTCTATCAGTCAGTCATTCCAGAAGGGGCGGATATATCACCGGCATCTGCAGCCCTGCCTTGGCTCAGAGCGTCAACGGCCGGGCATTTCGTGAAAGCCTGGACGATTGACTCGATCTTTGCGGATCAGTAACCACACCTCCTGCACGGTCCGAGTGAGACTCGGATGGAAGGCTTGTAATCGGACACTACGGCATATAAATGATTACATGCTATCTCTTTTGGAAAAGGGCATATTGCCGTGGAATCGAACTGCAGCAATCACATAATTGACTTCATTTATGGCTGTCACCGAACGGTGGTAGGATCACTACCACTATCCTCTTCAAATGCGGTCGTGGTGCCGGCAGAAATCAGCTCGTTACCTTGTTCAGGTCCAAGATCAGTCACACACAATGGAACCGCCCCTGGGATCGAATGCCGCTGAGGTATATCTGATGAGTTGGGGTTTTCCCGAGTTCGTACATTGGCTGACACTATCTAATCATTCATATCAGAGGTGCTGATGACTCCATTGTATTGTTGCGCTCCTTTCTTTGATGAACTGGTCCGATTTACCAGTTAGCTACCAGCAAACTTCAAAACTTCAAACCTCGAGATTACTTCTGTCTCTGGCTGCAGCTTCGAGGCTCGGTATAGAAGGTCTTAACGATCCCATTGGTCTGTTTCATTCTGACAAAGTGCGATCCGGAATGACCTCCGAAGCGGCCAGGCTTATATCCACCAGCTTTAGCAACGACAGATGCTGCAGGCGCAACAGGGCGATATTGCGCCTCTCCTCCTCAGTCAAGGAGCCAGAATCACGACGCGCCACAAGCTCTTCAAAAGATACCGCGAACTCGCTCAGTTGAGCTAGCATGATGTCCTGCTGTGCTGTCGCCCGCTGCACCACGGCCGGTTCCTTTGCGTTGTCATGCAGAAGAGTTTCGCAGGACCCTCGGAACTGTGATAGCTTGCTCATGAGGATCTTGATTCGCTGTCTAGCGTCTAAGAGGCTTCCAAATGCGTTGCTACCAAGGCTGCTGGACCCAGTTAGGGATATATCCTGGTCTGTTGATTGCTCATGCATCAGGCTGCCATGGCTGCTGGTCACAGACGGGTAAGCATTCTGGTCTGTCGATTGCTCAAGCGTCAGGGCATCTGATTGTTCGTATTGTGCTACTTGCACATCGAGCACCATGAAGGCTTGGACCAGGGCAGCCTCGGTCGCGGACCCGTAGCGGAGCTGTGCGGTAGGGAGCGAGCCTTGTCTCGGATGATGCCTCCAGTACCCATCACGCTGCTCCACGAGTTGCGCCCCCCTCCGCAGATGCACGCTCGCGCTCTTGTAGCTGCCGTGGAGCAGCTCGACGCAGATGAAAGTGATACAGCATATCAAGGCCACCAGCCGGACCTGAGGATCATTCGACGCCAAGCGTCGCCGGAGCATGACCATCGCTTTGCCATACTGCTCGAACGCAAAGCGATGATGCGAATCATGCATACCCTGCTTGCCAGCGCGGCAAAGGCCGCGCATCTCGACATCCTCGTGAAGCGCACTGAGAGCCACGGCGGCGTGGTAGGCGGCCGGCTCCGCATGGCTGATCTGCAGGACTATCCGCTGCCATACTTCTAAATTGAACCAGTCGGCCATCCTGGGCGCCGTTTGGTGGAAGAAGATGCTAAAGCATCGTTGTTCGTCGGTGCTGGTATCCGGTCGGGCAGTGGGGGCGATCTGTACAACGGACTGCGGCCAGATAGTCCTTGCAATTGCTCCGGAGATGCGTGGCAACCGGCTAGCATCGTATTCGCAGTGGCATCCGGTGGAGGTGCATTGATTGCACGCACCTGGTGTCTCATCACATTTGACATGCCTGGCTCTGCAGATCGGGAAGGCTGTGGATCAGTAAAAGCGAGCCGGGGGCGCAGTTTGGTTCTAGTTCGAGGGGTGGTTACAGACCGACAAGTTCGACATCCGTTTCGGGTCCTATGACGAAATTGTCTCTGTCTCTGCCTCTTCTGCTCTGCCATTGAGAAAGCGATTGTAAGGCTAGCTTTGAAGGAAAACTTGACGCACGAAAGCTGAGATGGCGCATTTGGTTAGTAACTTAGTGGCCTCAGCCGTAGTCGCTTGATGCTGGGTGCCTGATTGGCAAGTGGGCCAGCGCGCTGTGGGGGGAGGGAAGGGATGCGGGCCGCTTCCAAGTGGCGCCTCCGCCTTGATCTGTCCACCTCACGGTCCTCACCTGAGAAAGAATAGGTCATATTTCCCACTCTCTCGATGAATACCTCAGTTCTATACAATCAACAAAGAACATCCTCAAAGAGTCTGTCTGTGCGGAGAAGTATGAGCGGAGAAGTATGAGCGGAGAAGTATGAGCGGATAAGTATGACTCCTCAGTCCGTTGCAGGCAGCGACTGCTCGCCCCAACCTCGATGGCCATTGGGTGTTTGGAGCACTGCACAGACAAAGAAAACCACTTACTGAAACAATGCTCTGCCCATGGCCAAACCAACCATAGCAGCCAAACCCAGAGTCTCAGCATCCTTTCAACTTGAGGTCATTTGCCAGGCGCTCGCCTCCGCGCATCTCCATCATCATTGGCTTCAACCTCCGCCCGCCCAGGAATGGAGGTAACACATGCGCGGAATCAGCTGAATGTCGGGCTCACCTGGTAAGCGTGACCTCGCGGTGGTTCGTTGAATCCAATAGTGGCTCTGTCTCAGCTGAAGAGTGACGCTACTCGTGATTGTACGACAGTATGTAGGAGCGACATCTTCATCTTTGGATTGTGGACTACGATTGGCAATGATGCCGAGACCTCCAAGAGATAGCGGTACCAATGCCTTGACTTTGTGCTAGGGGCTTCGTCAATATGCGATACATTGCAAGAGCCTGTGGCTGATGATTGTAGCATTCCGTCTACTTGAAGATTTCTGGTGTATGCCGGTCATTTTCAGCATTGGAGACTGCTGGTCTTTCTTATACTTCTCTGCTCACCAGATGTCTTTGGTGTCGATAGGCAGCAGGCTTTACCGGGAATAACGCCTAGCACATAGTGACCACGCTGTGTTCTCGATGCCTAGACAAGATGCGCCAGATTATGGGCCTTCCCTCTTGTCCAAAGACTCTTCCTTAAGGCTCTCACTGACACATGGTATTTCGACTCCCATTGGATTGACTTTCAGACTGGCCAGCGTGTATGAAAATCAAATGGAGGTCCATAACATCAAAAGAATGATATAGCTTTCAAGGTAGTCAGAATGGTTTTTCTTTCTGGTAAGTCCGATATTGTATATAGTCCCGTGGCCCCTCTAGTACTGAATGTTTTCAGGCAGATGTTTCTCAGAACATGGCTTGGATGTCTCTGGCGTATCAGTAACCGTGCTTGCCCCATATCTCAATGATCTCCCTAAGAAGAAGAAGAAGCTGGGTACACGGGCTTATCTAATCTGCAAATAGAGAGAATGAACATCTACCTCAATGAATTGAGAGGCGAAAATACATTCCCCGCGGTCCTTCTCGACTCAAAGCCAGGGACGGCTGCATTGATATACTTGGGTGCGCACTTCAAGACTCGGTTACCCTACGCACCGTGTTCTCAACTATTTGGTCTCAGCAGTCATGCATGGAGTCTCGGTGTGCCTTCACTTTCCAAGCGAGCTCAACTCGGATATGAGCAAGCTTGTGAACATGGTCTCATTTCCTCATTTGAGCTTGTTCATGGCGGGCTTTGCACCATTCACCAGCCACGGGTGCACTCATTCTGGCCAGTCACAGTATCGGATCTCACGCAGCAGATGTTTGATTCGAACAACATGATGGCCTCTTGCGATCTCCGCCGTGGCCGCTTTTTGACATGCTCTGCTTGATTGTAAGTGCCTGGGATCATCGAACCTAGAAACCACACCAAACACTGAGCTCTCTAGTCAGCAGGGGTTGGATCTGCATGCGAAGACTCGATGATCAGATGAAGCACATCCAAAGCAGCAACGCCAGAGTCCTTCGCCGAATGACTCCTAAGCAATGTGCAGACAGCCTTCTGCTTCGTACCGCCGCAGAGCCACTGGGTGTCAGCGACTCTGCTTGGCAACTCGACGGTACTCCAGGAGATCCTCCACCGAGCGGGCCATGCCTTTGCTCGACTTTTTCGCGTTAGGGCGTTTTCACGTCGGCACACCCGGGAGGAATTGGAGGAACTCGAGTTCGTCAAGGCCGCAAGCAATCTGCATGACTTGATCGCGGAATATCGACAGTTATGACATGCTTCTGCTGAGGCTTGTTTCTTCAATGGGGCGCGTCCCGGCAATAAGGAAAGGAACTACAGCTCCTCGAACAAGCGAAGACATTTTGGCTAGTGGTTGTCTGCTGGGTTCAAGGCCTGGCTGTCGTACTTCAAGTCAAAACATCCTGACCAGAACTAGAAAGCAGCTTTCCGTGACTTCGTCTCACAATGCCTCAAACCATTGAAACCACCCCAAGACGAGGATTATTCCCATTATCTACGAATGACCCCAAAACACCATCTCCTCAATCCACTGCAACATCGTCCAGATATCATATACCACTCACTAACCACCATAAAACCTCCCCCCCCCTCCAATCCATTCACGTGATCGAACCTAGTCTCTCCCCTCTGCCCCTCCCCCTCCTCCCGCGTATCCCGTCGTCCTGAAAAGTACAATCAACCAGCGCCCACCACCACTCCTGTGCGTCCATCAAAATAGGGCAAAGCGGGCGGGCCCAAGGCCTTTCAACCTACTGTACGATAACGGAAAAAGAGGGTAAGTGTAAATTAGTGCAGAGCTTCTTTTCCCAAACCAGATGCATGATTGACAGAAAGGGGGGGGTTGGTTGGTTAGTTCTATGGAGTACTTAGTAGTAGGCTAGTAGCTCGCCGCGGGTTGTATGCATCGCGGCGCAACGCACGTACGCCCGCAAAACGCACGCGAACTTTTTTTTTTTTATTTTCTTTTGGTGGCTCTGAACCTACCTGGCACCCCTCCCAGAAACCAAAAGAGGAATAGAGGAACAACCCTAAGGGAAAAAGCAAAAGGAACGATTTTTTTGACTAAGCAGGCAGGGTGAAAAGTAAGGTTGAGTCGGGTTGTGGGTTGTGGGTGGATGGAATGTACGTATACCCGATCTACAGTACTAACTAGTCTACTCTGGGGAATGTGTTGAAAGGTTATGGGATCGAGACCGTTGCTTGGACGCTTGGATGAGGGAGAGGTTGAAGCGGTTGGGTGGGCCGTCTGGAACCTTTCTTCTCTTTGTGAGTATACGTGGGTATGAAGATTTTTGCATAATTGGTGTGACGTGCGAATATTGGGTTATTGATAGAGCGCTAGAGGAGAGGGAGGGGCAGGGGAGGGGCTAAGTTGAGAGAGAGAGAGAGAGAGAGAGAGAGGTGTTTTACTAGGTGTTGATGGGATGGGGGAGATGGTGTCGGGGTAAGAGGGGAGAGGGCTATTTGACCAGTCAAGTTCTGGGGATAGTTGGGTGCATCGCGGGTGTTCCAGTTGCTGTGCTTGATAATTCATATTTGAGGAATCGTCGAATGGTGAGATTGGGTTGCTGATTCGATGACACTATACTCCGTACGTAGTAAACTCTGGCTGCCATGAGTGGACTAATGCTGGTCTGGTTATGGTTATGAGCTACTAGGTCCGGGGCATGGTTGACTTATAGTTTGGAGATCAACATCTTAGAAGTACTGATTTTACTCCAACGTAAGCTCACTACCACTAACTGTGTAACGGATTCACCCCCACTTAGCACGACCGTGCCGGTCTATCATGTTTCGAATACATATAACTTGAAGGTCACTGCGAAATGAATGACGAGATGCTTCCCGTGGAAGTACATACTGTACGGTTGCAGTAAGCAAATGTCGAACCTCAAGATCCCGTCATATCCGGTAATACCCGAATCTCAGGGCACCATGCCATGTGACTTGGTTCGGATCTGACCCAAAGTCCAGGCCAGTCCAGTCCAGCCCAACCGTTCTTGTTGGTAAATGCAGAGAGAAAAGAGTCAGTCAGAACCGAATCGAATCAGTGGAGGGGCAAGCAAACAAGAAGTTAGAGAGAAGAGGCAGCGGAACCGGGGGAGGAAGCCGAATGCCTCCAAGCTACCTTAACTTTCTACCCAACCTGTGGTGAGTTGAGTTAGTCAAGCTAGCTGAGTTAGTTAACGTACTCGGTATACAGATGATTCTCTTCATCTCTCCACTTCTGGTTTCCTAATTAGTCGGCAGGCAGATTGATGGGGCGCCCGCCCGGACGGAGTGCTTCATCCCGAGCCGTTTCGAATCAACCGTGGCCGACAGACAGGAAAAGATGGGAGGAGGCCCAAGCACTCGGAGACAAAGCCATCCAATTGCATACAATCCTATTCTGTTCGTTCGCCTCCCCTAACCCCCCTCCACCCCTTCCTCTTCCCCCCCACCCCCCGCCATACTTACATGGAGTCATGGACTGTGTGCACGGTTGTTGACCAATGGTCATTCTGTCCATTGGCTGACTTGGAAATGCTAACTCGAGTGGCTGTGTATGTCGCCTTGAACTCATTGTTGGTCCTTTCGGTCCTTTTATGAGAATCGGCGAGAAGGTAAAGACAGGGTCATGTAGGTACACGACCTAGCTGCTTCA